ACCATCACCGCCATCCACTGATAGAACTCTTCATCTTGCAAAACTGAAACTGTTTTGCTCAGGGGCCCAGCCCTGGCAACTAATCTTCCACTCTCTGTCTCTATGAATTTGACTACTCTGGGTACCACACGTGAGTGGAATCATACAGTATTTGTCCATTTGTGACTGGTTTATTTCACTTGGCATAATTTTCATTTTTATTACTCCTGTGGAATTGGGTTGGTGGGGGCACCAAGGCCAGCCCTAGGTAGAGCTGAGAAATAAGGAGGGGGCTTATCCCCAGCTATCCTACTTTCCTGGCCATCCTTCCCTCAGTTCCAACCCACCTCAGGTCCCTACTGATGGCTAAGTGTCTTCACTCTCCTCATCCCACCTCCCACTTACTCAGGGAGAGCATCTGACTGGCCTTGTGTGGGCCATGTGTCTCTGCATTGGCAGAGGAGAGTGGGCCACCCCATTTGACAATGCCACCAAGACTGAATATACTAAGGAGGGGATATGTCCTCCTAAAGAGGCTCTGTCACCAGAGGAGGGGGCAGGCAAAAACATCAGATGTCCATGACAGGGGAGGTCCTCCAACGAACTTTAAACTGCCTTTCAGCCTCTCCATGCCAGGCGCTGGGCTCGACTCTTTCCCCCTTGGGCTCTGTTTGCAGAGTCTTTTACACCCTTGGCTTTCCTTGCAAAGTTTTCAGCAGCTTGAGAGCCAGTGCTGGGCCCCAGACACACTTTGTGAGTGTGATTGGAGCCCACGCAGGTTGCCCTCAAACACCAGCAGCCTGGAACACAGGCTCCAGACTCAGACTGCCTGGTTCAGTCCTAGCCTGGCAATCTCCTCGCTGCGTGGCCTTGAGCAACTGACTTCACCTCTCGATGCCTCAGTTTTCCCATCTGTAAAATGGTAAAATAATAGTACTTACTTTGTTAGGTTGTTTTGAAGATTTAAAAAACCTCTGTGCTAAGTGCTCAACGTATATCATCTTATTTACCCTCACAACTGACCTATTGCACATGGGAAAAAGGCACCCCTTTCTGGGCCCATCAGCCCCACGATAGGGCACACCACCCAGCACACAAAGCTTGAGCTAGATTGCAGCCTCTGCTCACGCCCTGCGCGAGACAGCCTTGTGCGTAGCCTGCACAACTGTGCACAGCACCCCTGCCTATGAGGCAGTATTTGTATTTCCCCGTTTTCTAGATGAGGCAAGTTGAGCACCGTGTGGTAACGGGGTGGAGGAGTCACTTCTAGCTTGCCTATTTACTTAGGGCGCGCCAAAGAGGCTAACCACCGCTGTGTTGTGGACCACATCCCTTTGTCACCAGCTCAGCAGCTTATATATCTTCCACAGTGGATGGCAACCACATGCATCTCTAGCACCTAATCGATAGGTGACCACCAATCTCTAATCTCTAATCTATTACTTTGATAATCATTTAAAAGACTAAGACCTGTTTTTGAAAGAGTGGGGGGAAAGGTGGAAGGAAGGACACATTTCCATGCAGGTACCATCCTGACGTGGCAATTATTTGATCATTTCAGCAGTCCACTCAATACCTAGACAGCAAGGACTAAAAACATTGTGGGTCTGAGTGACCCTTCTGGAGTTGAAAGATCAGTGTCACCAACAGATAGCTCAGTATTTGGCAAAGCAGATTCCAGCTTTGGCATTTTTTCCTTTTGTTTCTCATGTTCCCCGGGAGCATTATGTGTGGCTGGGTGATTTAGGGGAGGGCGGATTAACTAAGGTGCCCTCCCCTCATTTCCAAACCCTTCCCTTCTTTCCCTGATGGACAAGCAGCAGCCACTGCCTACTGTGCCTCATTTAAAATTGTGATTTGGCTGTGTGTCATATCATTGGTCATGGGGGGAGCAAGGAATTGTGTGCTGGGTATATATACTGAATATATTTGTGCCTTCTTTGTGAATCTGTATATTAAGCAGACTATACACTTTCAAAGACAGATCACTGGGTAAATTGAGATACTGTCGGAGAAATGATTTGTTGCAGAAAGCTGAATATAATTGATGAGTGTTGCCATTATGTCTCTGATTTAAGTGTTTGTCTAAGCTTAGTATTGAATGGTGAGATCTCGAAGTGTGGTTCAGATCTGGAACAGCTGCAGCAGAGCCAGCCACCTTGGACGGTGTAAATATCCCCAAGTGACTTGAAGTAAATTAGCACATATTGAAAGGGAAATTTTCTAAGGCTTGGAACCACCATTTTCCCAGCAAACCTCCCACCCGAGTGGGACCCAGGGGACACCAAGTGAAAGACAATGAAAAGGAATGGACTTGGCCCAGTGTCTGCAAGAGGCCAAATGCAGTCAGAGTGAGCTGAAATTATCTGCTCAAACAGATTAGATATTTTAACACCAATTCTCAGGCCTCAGAAGTGCGACTGGCTGCTGGCAGACAACCAACACTGTCTTTTTTAATTTTTAGATTCGGCTGTTAAATTTGGCCCAGTGTGAGTTTGTGTTTGATCAGAGGGATGAGGGTGGAGGATTCTGGTGGGAAAGCCTGGGTTCTAGCTCAGCGACTTGCCAGCTGTGTGACCTTGGACAGACCATTTCACCCCGTTGAGAGTGTTTTCTCATCTGTACAATGAAGGAAACAACCCTGCTCTGCTTGCCTTATGGGGAGTTTGAAGATCAGATGAGATGGTGTGGAAACACTATGCAAATGACTGGCGTAATTATGTTCACAGGCAGAACATCGAATCCTTTCTGCCTGGTTCACTCAATTCTCCATTTAATTTACATACTGTGGATTTTACTCTTCATTCTTGCCGCAAAACCTTTTGGAGAGTATCATTTTTAGACCTGGAATTGATATATGTGTAGTTGCCCTAGTTATCTCAGAGTCCTCTGAGATAAGGAAAAGACTGGAATTACCAGGAAAAATAGATCCAGGGAGACATTAGCCCAAGGGCACAAAGAATTCCCATCCTGATGTTCTTTCTTTCCTAGATGACACTGACATCTAAATGCAAAGCCAAAGATCCTTGTCAAAAGTTAGGCTCACAGGGGGTTAGGCTCACAGGGGAAGGCCCGGTGGCGCAAGTGGTTAAGTGCACGCACTCACTTTGGGGGCCTGGGGTTCACAGGTTTGGATCCCGCACACGCACCAACACACCGCTCGTCAAGCCATGCTGTGGTGGCGTCCCATATAAAGTAGAGGAAGATGGGCACGGATGTTAGCTCAAGGCCAATCTTCCTCAGCAAAAAAAGAGGAGGATTGGCATCGGATGTTAGCTCAGGGCTGATCTTCCTCACACACACACAAAAAAAAGTTAGGCTCACAGTTCCCCACATTTTCCCCTTCTCCCCTGCATCTTCTCCCTTTGGATGAAAGTGCTGAGTCTATGTGTTGCTGTCCTGAGGCATTCTGGGCACAACACCTGGTAAAAATTTATAATAGAGGAAAATAAAAACAGAGCTCTAAAATTGTTCTCATCATCCCAAATTTCTGAAACTACAGATCGAGAAACGACATGTTTATCATATTTCCACAAGTCTGAGATGCCATTGCTTCTAAGACATGCCATTTTTTATGTACCACAAAGAAAGAAAAAACTCTATCAGTTAAAATAGGACACAATGTGCCCTTATTGGGTCAATTATAAGCCACATCTTGATTTAACAGATGTTAAAATGTGAAAGAAATATGCATCTTAGAATAGATGAAATGCATCCCGTTTACCTTTTCCAAAAGGTAAAGCTTTCTCCTTTTGGTTCTGATGCATCCTTAGATTAGCAGATTTCAAACTGTCTCATTTTTAGTTTCAGCTCCTTGCATTTATACATGTTGTGCAATAATGCTTTCCTATGAGTTGAAGGGGGACATTAAATCTATTTTTCTTATGGACACAATAATACAAAGTACTTCTGCACTTGAATATAGTTTTAGGTAAGTGCTGATTGTAAAATATTTGTCAGAGCCAAAATCACATTAATTCTGTGGTCTGTTGTGTTTTACAAGATTTAAAAGAGTAAGAAGTGATTAAGGATATTTGGCACATCAATTGTGTTTTCATTCTCCCAAGTAGTGCTTTTTATTGTTTTTTGTGTGTGTGTGTGTGAGAGAGATTGGCCCTGAGCTAACATCTGTTGCCAATCCTCCTCTTTTTGCTGAGGAAGATTGGCCCTGGGCTAACATCCGTGCCCACCTTCCTCTACTTTGTATGGGTCACCGCCACAGCATGGCTTGACAAGCGGTATGTGGGTCTGCGCCTGGGATCTGAACCTGTGAACCCCGGGCCGGGCTACCGAAGTGAAGTGTGTGAACTTAACCGCTATGCCACTGGGCCGGCCCCTTTATTGTTTTTCTTGTTGCTCTGTTTAATACTTGATTTGGCTGTTTTGTTGTTGTTACCTAGTTTATTCTCAGTTCAGGTAAAGCAATTGAACTGTGAGTTTCCCATTGCCCAGAGAAATTAGGCATGAGTAGGCTCACGTGAGGAGAACACATCACCTCCCTAGGCTAAATATGATGTTTTTCTAAAATGCAAGGTGGGAATTTATAGTCTTTTGGACAGAAGGGAGCATGAAGGACACAGAAATAGAAACACTGCTTGTGTGACAATCCTTTGTAAATTTTTCATGGACCAGTCCTTGCTCATAAATTCTACAGTTTGGGATAAGAAAAACCGCACCTGTTTCTAGCCTGTTCTTTAGTTACCTTCCCACATTTCTTTGATCTATCAGGACATTATTATACACAATAGCAAAGAGAGTCACACACACAGACACACACACAAGGATTTCTAAGGACTAGACGATGGCTGGGTAGAGAGAAAGGATCGAAATAATTGTAGCTCTTGTATGTGCTTCATAACAGTCGTTTCGGCACCATGATGCCGGGCTCCCTGCCGGTGTGCCTGCCCATTACTGTGTTGATGAGTGTTGGTAGCCATCGTGTTGGACAGGAAATGGGTGGGAAGCTGTCAATGTTTGATCACTGCTAATGCACATCTTGCCCACTGTTTTCTCCCCTGCAGTCTGAGTACCACTACGAGTACACCGCATGTGACAGCACGGGTTCCAGGTGGAGAGTCGCCGTGCCGCACACCCCGGGCCTGTGCACCAGCCTCCCCGACCCCGTCAAGGGCACCGAGTGCTGTAAGCAGCCATCCTGCTTCAGGGGTGCCCCGCCGCTCAGCTTTGGCCTCTGCCCCCAGCCGCCTGCCAGCCAAGCTAGGCCATTCCCGCCAGTGCAGCTGCCTTAAGGAATCAGATCCTTCCCCAGTTAGTCCCCATCCCCAACCCTTTTGAGATTTAGTGCAGAAATGTTACTTCATGGATGCAAACTGGGTATCTGAATTTGCTTTTTTTTTTTTTAATTTAAGTCCCATCAGGGTAAAAATATAAGTAATTTCAACTGAGTACCATTTAGATATTTTTTTCTGTTTGCATACAGTTTCTTTTTGGCCTATGCATTTCTCTCCAATCTACACTCACCATTCACAATCAGTCATTAGGAAAGATTGCAATTTGCTCTCGTTCTTGAAAAGGAAGCCAGAGAAGATGAATTTCTGCAGAGACAGACCTTTAAAATGCACTGGGTATCACTTCAGGGAACAAGAATCCTCCTGACTGTGGGGCTGACTGTGCAACCAGCAAGGTGGTGACTTGCCTACAGCTCTGTCCCCACCTCTGTACCTCCGTAGTCACAACTTACCTGCCATTGGCAGCTATTTCCTCTGCACTGTTCTTTTTAGAAATGCAAAGGAGATAACGATAAAAATCAGGGACTAGAATCAAGGAATATTTGAAGATTTGGAAAGGAAATTAAAAGCATTTAAAATCTAGAATAAGCTTAGCATAGTGCCTGGGTCAGTAGGTGAGCAAATAAATACCTGTTAAATTAATGAATATCTAAGATCCAAGCAGAACTGAGGTGTGACTAATGGAAACAAATGAGCCATCTAACATTGGTTAGCTTGACCAATGTTATTAAGCACTCTGTGCACATGCTGTGTGAACCACAAAGATAAATAAGGCACAGTCTCTGTCTTCAGAAGCTTACAGCCTGGTGGAAGGAGCATTCATTCATTCATCCACTCATTTTCTCAGCAAACCTTTATGGAGCCCCTGCTATGTCTGTGTCAGTCACTGAGCCACTGTCCCTAGAGGAGCTCAGAGCCTATTGGGAGACACACGTCAACATGATGTGTTAATACAAGGTGAAAAAGAATGGGAGTTATGGATGCTGAGGGATCAGGAACGGCTGGGAGAACAACTTGAGCAAAAGTTTGGAGGTGGAAGAACACCAGACACGTTCAGGGAGGAACAGGTGGTCTAGGGTGGAAGCCACACAGAGAAGGTAACAGGTGGGGCTGGGTGGAGGAAGGTCTGTAGTGGGAGATCAAGCTGAAAAGTTAGTTTGGGGGGAAATTGTGGAAGATTTTGAATGCCGGGCTGAGAGCTTCATTCTATAACCAAAGGGGAGGGCCTGATTATTTTTTAAATGACAGGAATAACAGTACATATCAGTGTTTCAGAAAGATACCTCTGACCACAGAATGAGCAAAACCAGGAAACAGAACTCGTTAGGGGGACATCGCAACAGTTGAGCTAACAGGTCACGAGAATCCCAACTAGGCTGGTGGCAGTAGAACCAGAAAGGAGGAGACAGAGGCCAGATACTCAAGGGGGAAATTCAAGTCTGAAGGGCTGTGCACCACTCAGAGGAATCGGCTCGAGAGACTGGTATTCTCTTCACTGGAGAGCTCTCAGAATGACCGAGTCCACACCCTTGGGACATGAGACAGTCAGGGACAAGCACAAAGTCCCACAGCAAGGCAGAGCTTCCATGGCCCTAAATCTTTTTTTTTCAAGTTACAGCTTTATTGAGATATAATTTACATGTTGTAAAATTCACCCCTTGAAGGTGTAAAATTCAGTGGTTTTTAGACTATTCACAGAGTTGCATAACCATTACCACTATCCAATCTCAGAACATTTTCATCATCCCCAAAAAGAAGCCTCATATCCACTAGCAGTCTCTCCCCATGCCCCCTCCCCCAAATCCCTGGCACCACAAATCTGCTTTCTGTCTCTGTGGATTTGCCTATCTTGGACATCCCATGTAAGTGGAATCATACAAGATGTACTATGGCTCTAAATATTAGTGGGTCAAACTCCTAGATCTCAATCCTCTGCTCCCCCCTTTAGGGTGCCCACAACCCTCCCACTTCTCCTGGGACAACAGCGGCCTCACCACCCTGCCCTTGTCCCTGCTCTGTGTTTCAGCCTTCTCTTGCAAAGCTGGGGAGTTTCTGGACATGAAGGACCAGTCCTGTAAGCCATGTGCTGAGGGCCGCTACTCCCTCGGCACAGGCATCCGGTTCGATGAGTGGGATGAGCTGCCCCACGGCTTTGCCAGCCTCTCAGCCAACATGGAAATTGAAGACAGCACCACGGAGTCCACGGAGAACTGCACTTCGTGAGTCGCCACTCCTCCCCTACCCGCTAACCTCCCCCCTTCCTGTGCTGGGGAAAGTGATGCAGGGAGCACTCGACCGCCTCCTCTCCTGCTCCTCAGGCTGGGTAGGGAGGATGGAGAAAGGGAGCCAAGCTGCCGGGGTGAGGGCTGGAGCAGGTCCCCACAGGCTGTTGGACATGACATCCACTTTGGCCCACTGTTACTGACCTAAGCTTACCTGTGACTGACAGGCATTTGTGACAGGTGAAAAACATGGGGAAATAGAAAGAGGTAGACAAGATGGACAAGGGTTAAATGGCCCAGTCCATTTAAAACAAAATCCAATTGGATTTCCATCGTTGAATTTTAGATCAGCCAATAAACTTCCTCAACTTGATTGCAACGCAATGTGCAAAGCATTGGGTATCTTCCTGGCTCTGGTGCCAACTTCTAAAACTGGTCTGCCTAACCTGAGAAGGATAGTGTAGGACCAGAGCTTTGGTCAGTGGTGGCTGAGATCTTCCAAACCCTTTGAGACCCTGGTGACCAGAAAATTTTCCAGCTCAGAAAGAGATCTTTTCAGTAATCGAAAAGCTCAGCCCAGGTTACTTGGAGAACTAGTAAGCTATCCTTATCAAATCTTTGGACATTTAATTCCAGGGATAGGAATTAAATGATGTGCCTTCTATAGTTCAGGTCCTCTTCTGGGTGCGTTACATCTATGATTTTCTATAATCCTCACAAGAGAGCTGTGAAATAGGTATTACTGTTCCCATTACACAGATGAGGAACTGGAGGCTCAGCAAGGTTAAGTGACTTGTCCTTTGTCACCCAGCTTACAATGGTGAGATTGCAATTCACACCCAGTCCCAAGCTTTCTACTGCCTCACGCTGCCGCCTTCAAATAACATACAGTGTGTAAGGCAATATTGGGTCCTGGGGATGCATAGATGTAAAAGACAATCGTCCACTGCTCTTTGTTAAATGTTGACAAAGAATACAGGAGAAAAGTACAGGAAAATTTCTCTTATACTTGAGTGATCAAAAGTATAAAAAGGAATTAATAATTGTATTACACTTGGATTTCTAAAACTGGGAGCAATGTCTCCCATTCCTTTACTTAAATCTCCTAGAAGTACCATTGTCTGAGCCAGGCAGCAGGCATCTAATAGTCCAATTTTAATGTTATTTCAGAATTCAATATTATGTATCAAAATCATTAGGATGACAATGTTGTCAGCAGAGATAAAGCTAGAGAGGATTAAAGCTGGAAGGAGAGGGAATGTGTGGGTTAGGACGACCAACCCCCATTTAAGGCCTAATGGAGAATGTGATTGAGCCTGGACAAGATGCAGGTCGGGCTCACTCACTCAATTCCTACCCACTCAAAGGAAGTGTTTCTCTCTCTCTGGAGACTGCACTGAAAGTCCAGAAATTGTTATCTCTCAGCAAGGCAGGATGTGGGCTGGTAGGTTAATAACAACTTGTGTTTTCACGGCACAGACTTCTTCAGGGCCTGGATCTTAAGGTGTCCCAGACATCCCTGGGAAGGGGGAAAGGATGTTTCTCCTCTGCAGTCTTGGAGAGGAAATGGCCACCTAGAGAGGTTTTGTGATCTCCTCACTGCCCCTCAGATAGGCAATAACTGATCTGGTACCAAGATACCAAGTGTCTGGCTTTCCTGCTCTACCGTGTATTCACCCGAATCCATGCCCACCGCCTCCAACCTAACCCAAGACATCACCACCTCCTGCCTGTTCTGCCTCTTGTGCCTCCCAGCCAGTCTCTGCTTCCGCTCCCAGCCTCCTCCAGGCCACTGTCCACTCAGCAGCCATACTGATCTTCTTAAAACACAAAGCCAACCACAGTACTTTCCTGCTCAAAACCCTGGATTCTATGGATTCCTATTGCTCTTGGAATAAAATCCAATACCTTGCCGTGGCCTGCAGGGCCCTGCCTGGTCTGGCCGCTGCCCATTTCTCCAGCCTCTTTCAGGTACCTCCCCTCTTGCTTACTATGCTCCAGCCACCCTGGCCACCATGCTCCTTCCCTCCTCAAGGCCTTTGAACACACTCTTCTCCAACTCTTCTCCTAGCTGACTCCTGCTTCAACCTCAGGTCTCTGCCTAAACGTCACATCCTCAAACCCTCAAAGGAGCCATCCCTGACCCCACAGACTCCTAGTACACACTCTTGCCTCATCTTGTATTTCTCCTTATGGCGCTTATCACAGTTATTACTCTGTGATTAATTGTGCGGTTAGTTAAGTTTCTGTCTCCTCAACTAGACATAGAATGCACGCTCCAAGAGGGTGGGGATCAGGCGTGTCTCGTTCTTTGATGTATCTCCAGCGTCTAACATCGGGCACAAAGTAGACATGAAATAAATAATTGGGAAGAAAACAAGCCAAATGAACGGAGTTCCCATGGCAGGATCCCAAGTCTTCAGGGATCATCCTTGGTTCCTGGATAAATGTCCCAGGACTAAGGTGCTGGAAACAGTCCTCAGATCCAAGACTGGGATAAGCAAGAGGCAATAGGAGTGAAGAGGGAATATAGGAAGGATGTTGTGTGTTAGTGGAGAAGAAAGAACAGAAGCCCAAATACTGTGAAGGTGAAACACGAATGAGGGAAAGATAAATGTAAACATTAAAGAGGGTCTCAAACATTGGAAGCTTCTAAGTTTCCTTGTACAGTTTCTTCTTTCTAACCTGAACGTATGAAACAGTGCCACACAGCGTGACCTAGGTGGGGTCTGGGTAGCTGCCATGTGAGAATTTCTCTTTAAAAACTTGCCTCCCTTTCCCAGGGCCATGGTAAAACAAAGCAGGAATAAGCAGGTCACAGCTGAATGACCGTGGGCAACTTGCCTCAATTCCCTCATCCTAAAAGATGGTGATAAAGATAGCACCCTTCTTATAGGTTGTGGTAAGGATTAAATGAGATGATACGGATAAAGAATTTGGAGCCATGCCTAGCACTAGAAATCAATCGAGACTTGTCATTATTGAACATGAAATGATCTTCACCACGGACAGCTCTGAAAAACATCAGAATTGTGATGCATTTTACAAATGTAACCCACTTAGGGCATCCTTTTAATTATTCATCCAGCTTCAGGAGTCATTTATAGCTGATGCTGTGGAGCACACCAGCGTTGTGTTGTCTCTTTTAGCGGGAGAAATCGATACCGTTAGGTTTGCTGGGGTATCTTGGATGAGCTCAGCTTAGGTATTTTGGATATGCTTCCATTTGAGAATAACACTAACAATTGAAGAGCTGAAGGGACCATGTTATTCTGACAAACACAGGGGGAAACCAGTGGACTAATCTGAGGTCCCCTTCACTGGTCATTATTAATAATTGGAGACCTGGGATGGTCTCAAGCAAAACAGTGAAATAGGGGGGTTGTTTTGATCACCCATTTCCTACATTGATCTGTTTAATCCCCTGAGTCCCTCCTATGTGCAAGGCCCAGGGCTTGGTGCTGGGGATACAATAGTGAGCAAGATCAGTCTGGTCTCTGCCCTCAGAGCACCTACAAACCAGCCAGGAAGACAGACAATTAAAGAAGAATTAAAGTATGATCCCAAGAGGAAACCAAATTGTAAATAAACTAAGAAAAGATGTGCAACCTCACTAATAATCAAGGAAATAAGATATACAGCCCAATGAGACACTAGCTCCTACCACCTCACATTGGCAACAATTTTAAAGTCTGACCATTCCTAATTTGGGGAGAATGTGGAGCCACAGGAACTCTCTTACACGGCCGGTGGGTGTAAATTGATAACAACCACTTTGGAGAACAATGTGGCAGTAGCTGGTAAGGTTGAAGGTTCACATACCCTTTAACCCAGCAGGTCTACTCCCAGGCATTCCCCTCAGACATGTGTATAAGCAGACAGGAACAAGAATGTTCCCAACAGAGTGTGCACAATAGCAAAAAATTGGAAACGATCTAAACGCCCATTAACAAGTAATACATAAATAAATACGGCAGAACCACACAAAGCAACATTATAGAGTGGTAATAATGAAAGACGAGGGGCCAGCCCCATGGCGTAGTGGTTAAGTTCGGTGTCCTCCACTTACGTGGCCTGGGTTTGCATGTTTGGATCCTGGGCGTGGACCTACACCACTCATCAAGCCATGCTGTGGAGGCATCCCACATACAAAATAGAGGGAGACTGGCAACAGATGTTAGCTCAGGGGCTATCTTCCTCACCAAAAACAAAAACCAGTTACATGTAGCATCTAAAAGTGTACATTTCCAGAAAAACAGGTGGACTAGACTGGATGGAGTTCTGAGGTCTGAAGAATAGCTGTATCTGCTGACTTTCTTTGACAGCTTTGGAGTTAGGCAGATCTGGGTTTGAATCTCAGCCCTGCCACTTGCTGGCTGCGTGATATTGGGCACCAAGCCTCAGTTTCATCATCTATTAAATAAGAAAAAGATATCACTTCCTCTTACTGATGGAAAGAAATCATGAATATAAAACACGTAGTTCAATACCTGGGAGACAGTAAGAAACTAATAAATGTTATCCTCCCCTCTCACTTGCCCTCTATCTTCTGGGTAGTTTTGCATAATGTGGGGGCGAGCCCACCTGTCTTCCTCTTGTTGGCTGTACCCCCACCCAGGCTTCTTGATGTGGAGGTCATTTTTCACTGAGCATTTTCAGGTCCAAGCTTCTGCTTGTGAATTACAAGTCTAGAATTCCCCCGGAGACCTAGGAGGACATGCGACCTGCACATCGCACAGAGCCCGGTAGGCTATGCTCCTGCTGGTGAACTATTCTCCTGCTGGTGAACTTGGCTCCTGTTCCCTCACAGGTCCAAGTGGGTTCCCCTGGGAGACTACATCTCCTCCAACACGGACGAGTGCACGGCCACGCTGATGTATGCCGTCAACCTGAAGCAGTCCGGCACTGTCAACTTCGAATACTACTACCCAGACTCCAGCATCATCTTTGAATTTTTCGTAAGCCGCTGGACAAGGGGAAGGGAGGAAGTAAAGACTCTCCAAGACTCAAATTCCTTTGTAGGAACCACAAGCGTAGTCCTGCCCGGGAAATTTCCACAGTTGTTTTCCCTCTGGAGAGAACTGTGAGAGGCAGAAGTCAAGGACTCTGAGGGAGAAGAGTAGAGTCTGGCAGATCTAGGTGTTTTGCCCTGCTCAGACATGCAAACAGCATGTAACGGCTTCTGAGTTACACATTATTTCTGTGGTGTTAATGCACTGACGTTTTGTGTGTGTAACTAGCTCCCACCCTACTTCAAGGCTCATGTGTTCTGAGCTAAGACCCCAAAGGAAATTGGCAAGGGCCCTCTGGAGGGCTGCTGCAGTGTGGGGTAAGGAACCCATTTTCTTAGAAAGCTGAGACTCTGATCCCAAACTCCTGCTGCCTCAGGTCCAGAATGACCAGTGCCAGCCCAGTGCAGATGACTCCAGGTGGATGAAAACCACAGAAAAAGGATGGGAATTCCACAGTGTGAGTATCATACCAGCCTTCCCTAAGCCTTGCCTGGAGATACCATCCTTTCATAGAAATCCCAGAAAAGGGAGCAAGGGCCTTTCCTCCAAAAAGTGCTTCCTCCCAGTCTGGGCTTCCACCCCTCAGTCCCTAGAGGGCAGGGGTCTGACATGATGAGGATGCTATAGTTTCTCTCCTCTTGAATTGACAGAATATGGGCATGGGCTGACTTGTTGCTCCTATGGCTTGACCCCAAGGACCAGCAGCTTTCCAGCTTTAAGGGCTGGGTCTTCTGGGGATGGGGCATGGATAACTAGAACCAGCGAAGAATGAGGGAGTTCCAGTCACCCTATTGTCAATACCTTCAGGTCTATCCGTTGGTCTCGCCCTTTGAGATGCTCATGGTATATGTGATTGAGGGAGAAGGGGGAGAGGGCATGAGATGGTTATAAGAGGAGGCTGAGAAGGAGCGAGGAGCTCAGTCAAGATGGGAGGAAGGGCAAAGCTGAGGAAGTTGAGGGAGAGGGTCAGAAGAGGCACTGCTGTGGAGATTGTAAGAGGAGAGGTCCCAACAAGAGGCCAATCCGGTGGATTAGGGATATCTGTCTCTGTGACTGAACTGACTCTTCCTGTTTGTGGTTTTTAGGTCGAGCTAAATCGAGGCAATAATGTACTCTATTGGAGAACCACTGCCTTCTCGGTGTGGTCCAAAGTTTCCAAGCCTGTGCTGGTGAGAAACATCGCCATAACAGGTACGGAGAGTGGGTTTGGGTCTGCAGTCTGTTGCTGACTGGCCTCATGACTCTGTGGGGAGGGAGGGGGTCAGCCTCCAGGGGGCTCAGTCTCGAGGCTCAATCCTTGCTTTTCTCTGTTGTTCTTCCTCCCTAGGGGTGGCCTACACTTCAGAATGCTTCCCCTGCAAACCTGGCACGTACGCAGACAAGCAGGGCTCCTCTTTCTGCAAACTTTGCCCGGCCAACTCGTATTCAAATAAGGGAGAAACTTCTTGCCACCAGTGTGACCCTGACAAATATTCAGGTGATGTTTCTGAGGGTAGGAAGAGTTGGTGGGGGGTATCAACAAACGCATGGAGAGGAACAGGAAGTAGAGCCATCCTTCTGGCCATGCTGAAGATGAAAATTCTTAAACCCTTGCTTTCTGGGCCCTGGAAGAGCCTTGCCAATCCACACTCTACCAATCATTCTTGAAATGAAATCATTCAATAAAGATTTACAGAGCCTCTACTATCTGCCAGGCCCTAGTCTAGGTGCTTGGAATACATCAGTGAACAAAATAGATAAACATCCCTGTCTTCATGGAATCTACATCCTGATGGGGGAAGATAGACAATAAACAATAAGTAGAATAAATATAGAATAAATTATGTAGTACGTTAGACAGTAAAAGTGCCTGGTGTGTGGCAAAAAGAGAAAGCAGGTCAGGGTTAGAGGCATTAAGAAAACTAGTGACAGGAGTTACAATCTTTTTTTAATGAAATTTTATATATTATAAGATTATAGTTATAAATAATAGATACAGTAGATAAGAGGTATAAATTTATATATTTTAATTTATAACAATTATTATCAAAGTTATTTTAAAAGAGCTATGAGGCTGTATTGATGAGCAAAACATTTTGATAGCAAGGGCTAAAGATGGAAGTTATAATCTTTTATCAGCCTGAGCATCCACTGAATTGAAAGCAGGCCTTTCAGGAAATCCAGGGTTCCTTGGAACACAGTTTAAAAACCACTGCTCTAAGGGCAAATAAGAGGACAGCTTGGAAGCCGCCTATTTCGATAGTCCCTGCATAGCTTCCTAAAGCAACCCAACTTGAGAAACAGGACCTAGTCATTTGAGGGGGTCTCAGGGGAAGCAGGGCTCTGCTGTAAGACAGGCAGGGCACCCAGAGGGCCCTCTGCTCAGGAAGTCCAGTGGTTGGCACAGGGGCCAGTCTCCAAGACAGGTTCTGAACAACCAAGTAGGGAGAAAGAGTCCCTTCTCTTCCCCTGCAAACACTCATAACTATTCTATTTTTCCTTTCTTACACAGAACCATATACAAACTCAGCTCAAAGCCTCTCTCAAGCAGACTCTTGCACCCCCACACAGACACACGCACCCTTCACTCAGGTGTTACAGTGTGTGTTTGCTCAGCCAACACTGTTGACCTTGTGAACTGCTTATTTTTACACTATTCCTAAAACAAAAGCCATATTTATCTACACAGATCTTGCCAAATGAGCATAGTTTTCAGCAAGAACAGGAATGTTTAGATCTTGGAGGAAGTTTTTATCTGTGAGTCTAAATTCCTGTTTTTCCACTTGAATTTCTTATTCCTCTTCCTTGCTCTATCAATGGTAGCCTTTGTTAGCCTTAGTCTCCAGCTCCCTTTCCAGCCCAGCAGTTGTACAAGGGTTTGAATGGCAAGGTGGTTCTAGAAAAACTGCCTGGGAGTGTTTTGATCAACTCTAGGTAAACTGATTTTTATCCAGAGAGCTGTTTTAAAAGTGTTACATTGGTAGTCTGAATTCCTGGAGTCTATTCTCCTTCTACCACTGATTTCTCAATCCACCCCTTTGACTGGGAAGTGAGTTTTTACTGTGGAGAACATGGTCGGTTTGTTGACCACCTCACCAGCTTAGGGTACAAAGAGAGTTACATTTCTTTGGGACTTGACTATTCTAGAATACAGGGTCAGTGGGAGGCTGGGAAAATGCAGAGAGAGTCTAATGAGAGCCTATGATGGAATGTGTACAAAGGGAGTGACCGCAGACCCTGTGACCATTTAGTAACCCATTTACAAATAAATTCTGAGTGCCTGCTATGTACCAGGGCTTGGGCTTGGTGCTAGGATTAGAGCTGGTGCCTGCCCTCCAGCTTATGTCGAAAAGTGGAAACGCAGTCATAGAAACACCTAAGTGTAGTAACTCCGTGGGGCAGTAGGTGCTGGGATAGGAGTGCTGAGTGTAGCGTTCAGTGGAGGCAAAAAAGGGAAGTGGTCAGTCCTCTCTGGGGTGGGAGAAAAGGCTTCAATGGCCGTGCTCTTGAAAGATGAGTTGGTGATTCACTAGGGGCAGGATGTTCCGAAAGAAGTGTGAGCCAAAGCCAGAAGGCTCAGAGATCTTGGAGTAACTCAGCCTGGCTGGAGCTTACTTGGAGAGAAGTAGCACCCAAGGCTAAGAGGTGGGCAGGGAACAGATTACGTGTCAGCCCTTCTGTGCCATTGCTAAAAAATTGAGAGTTGATCCTATCAGCAGCGGAGGTCATTAAAGCATTTTAAGCTGGGGAGTGACATGATCTGGCTTGTGCTTTTGAAAGACTACCCTGGCTGCCATTCGGAAAATAGATGAAGAAAGGAATGGCTGGAGGCAGAGATTTTGCAGCAGGCAGCATTGCTGGTATCCAGGACCTAGACTAAGTCGTTGCTAATGAGGGTGGAGATGTTAAGAGCAAAGGCTTAACTAAAAGCATCTTTCTCATTGATAACTAAAATTCGATCATTAGGCTCAATTCCTTTGTGTTACATTTAATATTAGGGATTCATTTCCTAACAGAATAGCATGGAGTTTAAGAGCATGGACTCCTGGGGCCGGCCCCGTGGTGTAGTGGTTAAGTGCACACACTCCGCTGCTAGTGGCCCCAGGTTCGGATTCTGGGCGCGCACCGATGCACCGCTTGTCAGGCCATGCTGTGGCGGGGTCCCATATAAAGTGGAGGAAGATGGGCGTGGATGTTAGCTCAGGGCCAGTCTTCCTCAGCAAAAAGAGGAGGATTGGCATGGATGTTAGCTCAGGGCTGATCTTCCTCACAAAAAAAAAAAAAAAGAGCATGGACTCCAGAACTAACTTACTATGGTTCAAATCCCCACTCCACCATTTACTAGTGCCACTTTGGGCAAGTCACTTGTCTGTGCCTCAGTTTCCTAATCTGTAAAATGGGAATGGCAATAATCATATCTCCTTCATGGAGTTATTGTGTGGCTTAATTGATTAATACAGATAAAGGATTTAGCACAGTGCCTGGCATGTTAAGCATTAATTTTATTAATTCATTTTCATTAAGGTCTGTCCCAGCAGTCCTCTTCTAATATGAAAATACTCTTGGCATAGGGAACAACAATACTAAGTCACTTACATAGTACTTTACAATTTACAAAACATTATCTCATTTATTACTCACAGCCTAGTGCAGGAATGATTTCTCCGCTTACAAATGAATAAAGAGCAGCTCAGAGAGGTTAAGGGATTTGCCCGGAGTCTGAGATGATATCTGAGCTGGGCCTTGTGTTCGTTAGGTACTTAAATCCTCAGGGGATGGAAGCCAGCCTGGTGGCACAGTGGTTAAGTTCATGCGTTCCTCTTTGGCAGCCCGGGGTTCGCCGGTTCGGATCCTGGGTGTGGACCTACTCACCACTCATCAGGCCACGCTGAGCCGGCGTCCCACATAGAAGAGCTACAACTCTACAACTATGATACACAACTATGTACTGGGCATTTGGGGAGAAAAAAGAGGAAGATTGGCAACAGATGTTAGCACAGGGCCAATCTTCCTCAAAAAAAAAAAAATCCTCAGGGGAAATGTTTTCCTTTGATAAAAGGGATCATAATGAGAGAACATTGGACTCCTGGAGGCGGGCAGAAGATACTGGAAGGTGCAGGAAGGTGCAGAAAGAGGAGTTGAAGTCCCCCAAATAAACTTTATCTTCTTACAAATTTGCCCAGGGCCAATCCTACAGGAACCATTTTTCACTTCCTGTTACCAAACATCTAGGCGGATCTTTCCAACTTGACTAGTGCCCAACTTAAACACCTCGATGAAACCTGAGCTAGGAAAGTGAGGTCTGTCTCAGCGTTTGGGTTAATGATTTATTAAAACCACCTTAGCAGTTGTCGATGTGTAAACAGCTGGACCATTTTTGCTGAAACCTGGAGCTAGGGTATCAGGTTGAGCAAATATTTGATAAGCAGAGAAAGGTCCTCGTGTAGAAAGCACTTTCTAATATGTAAGTTGCCATTTGCTAGACCCAGTATGCACAGTCCTGGGAATTGGTATGTTTTCAGCATCTCCCCAAGTTTCTGCAGGCCAAGTCCGTCAACAGCAGGAGTCCCTGGATCCCTCTGTGCTGAATTAGGCCTTCTGTTTGTTAACCAAGGAAATGAGCTGAGAAGACTGCAGCTGCCTCTCAGCCAATAGTTCCCTCTTGCCCAGGCTAATAAGGCAGGGACAGAAGAGGTGTGGAAGTGTGCCGTGGAGGGAATGCCCCAATGCAGGCCAACAAGGCTGTAATTAGGGGATATTCTGATCTAGGAAATCATTTGGAAGAAGAAGGAATCAGTTGAGAAATAAGCCTTAACCGGAAGGGAGAGAAAGACAATTTTAATCCTTATTAAAAATCCCACAGCAGTTACCAAATAAAAATAATTCCCACAAACCCAGATAATAATAGTCACCAGCATTTAGTGAGTCCCTGCTTACACTGTGTCAGGTATGTGCTGGCTCCAGTAAGGTGAGTATTGTTATGACTGCTCAACAGATGAGAGCACTAAGGCTCAGAGAAGTTAAGTAACTTGCCTAAAGTGACACAGCCTCTAAATGATTAAGCGGGATCCAAACCCAGATCTGTCTGACTTAAAATCTGATTCCACTCTATCACACTGCCTATTAGGGAATAGAGAGAGAGGTGGTCTCACCACTATCAGGTGCTTACCTGCAGGTGACACAAGAGTCATTAGAAATGGTGGTGACAGTAGTAGTAGGAGAATTGTGCTGGCACTCTATAAAGCAGTGGTTTTTATTCTGCAGAAAGTAAATTCCCTGGAAATTTTATTTGCATGAATTCTGTATATTTTTCTTAGAGGAAATAGGTCTTTTTTTTTTTTTTATTTTTCCCCCAAAGCCCCAGCAGATAGTTGTCTGTCATAGCTGCACATCCTTCTAGTTGCTGTATGTGGGACGCGGCCCCAGCATGGCCAGAGGAGCGGTGCGTCAGTGCGCACCCGGGATCCGAACCCGGGCCGCCGGCAGCACAGTGCGCGCACTTAACCGCCAAGCCACGGGGCCGGCCCTGAAATAGGTCTTTTTTCAAATACTCAAGAGGATTTGTAATTCAAAAAAGGTGCAATCCATTGCTTTAAAGAGGGATTCGTTGAATTAGTTCTTGCCATCCAGGGATTCATAGGGTTAAAGCAGAACTAATGTAGATATAGGGAGAACATACAGAGAGAAGAATAAGTAAAATGATAGTTAATAACATTTTTCATTAGGTACAGGTCAAGGGTCAGAGATAGTCCTAGGATGCTTGGAGGGTGAGGGGAGTGGAAAGAACTTTATGTCTTAAGTGGAGTCAGAGGAAAGTATCACCTTATCTGTGTAGGATGGTTGCATGGAGAAAGGCCTTCATTATAGGCATATATTAAGAGAAAATTCAGAGGAAGAACTGGAATAAGTATGAAGGCACTGTCCTAGGTTTTCCTACATGTTGCTCCAACCCTTCTGGAGTAGAAAAACCACGCTCACAGTCAGGATTCTGAGGCACCTGGAAGATAGTGGGTTCCAGGGAACTTGTGTTGGTGGTTAACCTGCAAGATGCTCTTTCCAGCTGCCCGCCCTCCTTGCTGGTCCCTCGGCCAGTCCACTTCTCCAGGCCCTGCCCCACAGTGCGGGCCCTTCTCAGCAACACCAGGGAGAGGTGCAGAGGGGGTGTCTGAGCAGGGCTTTAGGGACTGGAAATGATGCCACCGAAGCAAAGGGAAGGGTGGGTATGCAGGATTTTCTACTTTCTGCAGTATCTGTATCGTGCCATACCCCAGGGTCTTGGGGGTCCTAGGGTCATGAGCAAGCGGTCAAGAGCTCTGCTTTCTTATGTAACTTCAAATATTTGTCCTCGCTTCCACAATTTAGAAAAAGGATCCTCCTCCTGCAAAGTGCGCCCCGCCTGCACAGACAAAGATTACTTCTACACTCACACGGCCTGTGATGCCAACGGAGAGGTGGGTAGCATGGTCTGGGGGCCCCTTTGCCCGCTCCTTGGGCTTTACCACATTGGAGTTCCAGCAGTCAGTGAAGCTGGCACCAGCGAAAACCTCACAGACCTCCGCAGGGACCCCGGGGCCAGTGGGGAGGCAAAAGGAGATGGCCTCATTCATTTTCAGGTCAGCAATTCGTTCTGCCGCATTTGTTCCACGGCTTATTCACATATGCTCTGTTTCAAAAAACCATTTCATTTTCTTTTGCTTGGTTTCTTCCATTTGCTCAGCCCCTCTGGGCAATGGCTGCCTTTCCACGCTCTCTGATTTCCTCATGGGACTCGCCAGACTTGTCCCGTCAGCGCAGCTTTTGTAGTATGGCGAAGGGAATGGATTCCTATTTCCTGGCTCACTGGAGAATGCCTGACTTGTTCAGTCTCTACCATTTCCCTCTTTCTCCCTGGGTTTCTGCCTCAGAAAGACTTTCCCTTGTAGTCTGCATGGTCATTGAGTCAGCAGGCATTTTTTGAGTATTAACTGTTACGCCAGACACTGTGCTCCAGCTGGGGAATGAGAGATGACTAAGACAGGCTCCTGCCCTCGGGGAGCTCACAGTCCTGAGTGGGAAGGTGGAGAGAGGAGAAAGAGGGGCCTGGCCAAGGCCGCAAGAAGGATGTGCAGGGCACCGGGGAACCCAGAAGGGGAGTGACCAGGACTGGGGGCCAGGGAAGGCCTCTCAGAGGAGGTCATTTGTTCATTTTAACGGTCAGTCACCGTGCTGGGCACTAGGTATACAGCAGGTAACAAAACCGAGGGAACATCTACTCTCATGGAGCTTCATTCTTGTTGAGGAGTGAGTGGAGAGAGAGACGAGATAAACAACAAATGGGTGTATAATATATCAGATGATCATAAGTGGTAGGAAGAAAAAAATAAAAGAAGATTAGGAGATGGACAATGACAGAGAGTGGGGAATGTTGTTTTAGAGAGGGTTAGGATGACCTCTCCGAGGAGGTGACATTTGAACAGAGATCTGAATGAGATGAGGGGGGAGCCATAGCACTTTCCAGGGAGAGGGCACAGTGGGTGTAGAGGAGACAGGCACATGCCTGGTGAGTTGGAGGAACAGCAGTAGGTGAGCAGGGATGGCTCAAGGGCACAAGTGGAGGGATCTGTCTTATATGAGACATTCTGGATGAACTGTCTGTATCCCTAAACCAGAGCCTCTCAAGAAGATAGAATTAGGAGTCGGGAAATCGGCATTCAGCACCAAGCCTATGTTTGGCTATTAGGATGCATAAATGTTAGCTGGCTGGACAGCTGGCTGAATTCTCCTTTTGCTAATTAAGCGTGGGATAAAGTCTGGTCCGTAACGGTCATTGTTTTTCATAGTCATCTCTTACTCCCCCTCGTTCTCAGGTTTGGAACATCATCCCTTCTCCAGCAGCCAAGCGAGAATGGCTATATATCTTGTCAGTTGCACCTTAGACTCAGTTCCGTAGTGTCTGATGTCTGCATGACCTTGTAAAAATTATTGTCATTTTCTTGGCCTCAGTTGACTCGCTAATTAAATGAGGATAATCCTGCTCCTCTTCTCCCTCCTGGGCATAACATGTGGCTGAACGTGGCTGTCTTTGCTTCCTTCTGCCCCACTCTTTCCCCTCCCAGCTGAGGCCAAAGCCTTCTAGATCTGTAGTGTGCTCTGATGCCTGTGAGCCTGCAGGTCTGCCCTCACCTGACCACCTCTGGGGCCTCTGGATGCTGGGTCGGGCCAGAGCCAGAGCTCCCACCTTCAGCCCAGCCAAGGCACAGCTCAGAGGAGGAGCCCTGAAGCATATATGGCTGAGGAGTAGATATGAATATGCGGCCGCCAGGAATGCCTCACAGAAGTCTCGCGCCTGAGGCCCACACTGGTTCTGTTTAGTCTCATGATTTCAGTTTGTCTGTCTCCTAAGCTGTATTTTAAAATCAAGGGACACACCTTGAGCTGACTCCTATGATTGCCCTTGTGGCCTTTGATGTGCCTCGGTGGTTTCTTAGGGACCAGGAGGGCCAATCCATTGGGGCTGCTGAATGTTCTGCTCCAAGAGACGGCCCAAGTCAGTCTTCCTGCTCCCTAGACTCTGCTCTCTATGAGACTCAAGGAGACAGGCTGGGTGAGATGAGGTCAGAGCACAAGCCTGGGGCTCTGACCTTTGGCTGCTCTTCACAGGGAGGAAGGCTGAGCTGAGCAGGGGGAGGAGGAGCCCCAGGGCTCACCATCAATGAAGGCAGCATGGGCCCTTTAAGACCTTGTCATTTCTGGGGCCAGCCTGGTGGTGCAGCGGTTAAGTGTGTGCACACACTGCTTTGGCAACCTGGGGTCTGCAGGTTCGGATCCTGGGTGCGCACTGATGCACCACTTGTCAAGCCATGCTGTGGCGGTGTCCCATATAAAGTAGAGGAAGATGGGCACGAATGTTAGCTCAGGGCCAATCTTTCTCAGCAAAAAAGAGGAGGATTGGCATCGGATGTTAGCTCAGGGCTGATCTTCCTCACAAAAAAAGACCTTGTCATTTCTTACCCTGAATTAAATGGACAAATGCCTTATTTATCCATCTTTTCACATGTATGATATGCTGCACAGATCACTTTCATCATCACCTCAGTGCAATTCACAAGAGCACCTTTTGTCTCTGACTTGACCCGGGGGCCACACAGGAAGCTTGGAGCTGCCCAACCTCACCCCTGACTCAGCAGGGGCCTCCTGCAGGTCATCTCCTCTTCATATCCAATGCCTCCATCCAAAGACTAAGGATAGCCCTAGTGAGTGACAAACACAATGCTTCTCTTGTCCACTGACCTGATGGCTGACTGTATCTCTTGACTTTTTTTCTTCAGCTTTATTGAGATAGAATTGACATGTAATACTGCGTAAGTTTAGGATGTACAATGTGTTGATTTGACACACTTATATATTGCAAAATGGTGACCACCATAGCGTTAGCTAACCCCTCCATCACATCATATAATTACCATTTCTTTTTTGTGGTGAGAACGTTTAAGATCTACTCTCTTAGCAACTCTCAAGTATATAATACTGTATTATTAACTATAATCACCATGCTGTACTTTAGATCCCCAGAACTTATTGGTCTTATAACCAGACGTTTGTACCCTTTGACCAGCCTTGTTCCTCTTGCCTCGATGTCCCAGAGAACATAGCGTCACCCACGCGTGGATTGTTATTATGTGATTGCTGCCCTTGCTAGACGAGGAGCTTCCTGAGGGCAGGGGCCATGTCTCATTCATCTCTGAGTCACCAGGTCTGGCACATAGATGTCGTAGGCTTTCTATAAATGTCTACTGAATAAAAGAAAAAACAAAGGAAACACTTGGAAGACAAATGGGGATACCCCAGCCACTCCCTCTTTCCCCAGGGGTTATGTAAGCCACCTCTGCTCCCTGCCTTTTTGTGTTCTGGGATTTTCACCAGCTGCTTTTCCTGTGACCTTGGTAGCAATAAGATTCTACACTGGAATCAGAGATTTTTCTGGAGACTGCTGGTCCCCCAGTTTCCTCTGTCACACAAGTCCTCCTTAGGTTTGTCCCTCTTCATCCCATCAACATTCATTTGGCTGATATTTATCAAGCACAACCATGTGCCAGGCACTGGGCTACAGTGCTTGGGCTACATCAGTAATCGAAACAAAGTTTCCCACCCTGGTGGAGCTTTCATTAGAGCCCAGAATCACCCCCCCACACCCCCCCCACCCCCGCTGCCACTCTCAAGGTAAATTCCAAAGATGTGCTAAATCCCACATGGGTTGAGCTGTTCTTTTTTTTTTTTTTGGTGAGGAAGATCAGCCCTGAGCTAACATCCGATGCCAATCCTCCTCCTTTTTGCTGAGGAAGATCGACCCTGGGCTAACATCCGTGCTCATCTTCCTCTGCTTTATATGGGACACCGCCACAGCACAGCTTGACAAGCAGTGCATCGGTGCGCGCCCAGGATCCGAACCTGCGAACCCCAGGACGCCGAAGCGGAGCACGCGCACTTAACTGCTGTGCCACGGGGCCGGCCCCGGGCTGAGCTGTTCTTAATCCATTTCTGCAGACGCAGCTCATGTACAAATGGGCCCAGCCGAAAATCTGTGGTGAGGATCTCGAGGGGGCGGTGAAGCTGCCTGCCTCTGGCGTGAAGACCCGCTGCCCACCGTGCAACCCAGGCTTCTTCAAAACCAACAACAGCACCTGCGAGCCCTGCCCTTATGGCTCTTACTCCAATGGCTCTGGTAACCCCTTTACTGCCCTGTTCTCTGCGTCACATCCATTCCCACATCACCCACCTGGGCGGGCCACGTGGGCACTCAGAGTGGTCAGCTGAATGAGGACTCTGTCCTTCCGAGGGAGGCAGTAAGGGCCAGGCCACCTTTGAGGACTAACTTCAGGAGATAAGAGGTCAGGGGGGTGGTGCTGTCTGTAGGTCAGAGTCACACCTGCCTTCCTCCCCATTCCAACTGTGAATGTGACTCAGGCCTGAAGGTACCCAGTCCTCACACCAGAGGCTTCCAGCACGTGGCAGGGATGCTACCTGGAAGGTCTGGGGAGCTGGGGTGGCCAGTTTGACACAATCAGAACTTGTAAGCCATGCTGCAAAAGGAGTTGGAGGATTTGTGTACCTATTAATATGAATGCATTTACTGATAATAATGTGACAAATAAAATGAACTATATGTATCAGACTAGAAGATACATTTAAGTTTCGAAATGAAAAATTTGGTGGGCAAGGATACCTGGAATATTGGAATGAAGGGTCAGTGTTTATGTTTTGAGTTTGTTAAATACATTGTCAGAATGTTTTTGAGCCAACTCAACATAACCATGCAATGGTGCTCAACTCCTCCCTTGTTTGGCTGCCCGCTACTGTTGCTCCTTGTCTGTGCGACAGCAGCTCCAGTGAGGGTGGCTGCAGCCTTCCTGCTGAATGCGAGCATCTTGTGGTTCCCCCAGATTGTAGCCACTGCCCAGCTGGGACTGAACCTGCTGTGGGGTTCGAATACAAATGGTGGAACACGCTGCCCACGAACATGGAAACGACTGTTCTCAGTGGGATCAACTTTGAGTACAAGGGCATGACAGGTAATTGCCTCTCCCCTTACCATGAGCTGTCAGCTCCCTGCACTCCCACAGGAGCTCTTCCAACTTCCCATTTCTTCATAATATTGATGTCTGGAGGAGAATGAGCTAATCATGCCACACACTCCCTTGAAAGTTCCATTCCTCATGGACCTATATTCTGCCAAACCTTAGTTTTAGAGACAGAAACGAACTAGAAACAACGTGCACACACTCCAAAAGTCTTGCTCTGAGAGCTTCAGGGTCTTTGACCAAAGCAGCAGGATAGGTAACATGGTTCGTGTTCGGCGGTGGTTCTGGACGCCTCCAGGACAGTGTTATCTCCCTCTTCCAGACTGTCATTTGGGTACACTTTTGCCCTGCATCTGAGACCACTAGAGTGTTAACTCTCCCCTCTCCTTTTCCAGGTTGGGAGGTGGCTGGTGACCACATTTATACAGCTGTTGGGGCCTCAGACAATGACTTCATGATTCTCACTCTGGTTGTGCCAGGATTTAGGTGAGGAATACAAAGCTAAGGGGAAGCTCACGCCACCGTGGCCACATCCAAATCCCACAGAGCTTGGAATATTGTGGAGGGAGGGCTTCTGGCATGCTGAAGTACCAGTTCAGAAGAGGAGCACACAGGGCCGGCTCCGTGGCTTGGCGGTTAGGTGCGCGCGCTCTGATGCTGGCGGCCCGGGTTCGGATCCCAGGCGCGCCCCGAGGCACCACATCTCCGTCCAACCCGAGGCCGAGTCCCGCGTACAGCGACTAGAAGGATGTGAACCTACGACATACAGCTATCTGCTGGGGCTTTGGGGGGAAAAAATGAATAAATAAAATCTTTAAAAAAAGAAGAGGAGCACAGGAATGGTCTGACAAAGTTCCCCTGAGTGCCAACACAGGTTCTTAGTTGCTGCCCATGCTGATTTACCTACTGCTCTCTCATCCTTCCAGCTTCTCGCATCAATTGGCTGAGTGCTACTCGAATTCTTCCTCCTCACAGCATCAGATAAGATAAAATCGGGCCAGAGGTGCTCATAGACAGTTCTTCTTTATTTGGGGCAAGAAGAGTGGAGGGATTGCTCTTATTGTCACATTTATCCCCATATCCCAAGAAGACTTAGGACAACAAGCAATTTGTTTGCCATTAAAAAAAAATACTACAGACAGTGTGGTACAGTGGAAAGAACACTGGACTGGAAGACAGGGCTTTGTGAACTTGGGAAAGTCTCCGTGCCCCTATAGGCTTTCATTTGTAAAACAAGGGGGATTCAGAGTCTGTGATTTTGGACTAACTCAGGTTACAAGGATTCTTCCAGCACATTGGTTAGCACAACTGTATAGACAGGAGCTGGGAACTGGAAGTCCTCAGAATTCGAGCAAATGGCCAAAGTCAAAAGAAAAGCCATAAATGGATTTCCAAAGCCAAAGTGAACTCTTCTGCTGTATGCGCTTTAAAGATGAGGGGCAACCTCTGAATGGGCTTCCCTATTGCCAGTCTGGCTTCTCCATTCCCTCCTTCAAGCCCCATCCTTTCCTTCCCTGGCACCGTGCTTAGCCCACAGTAGTCACTCAAAAGGTATTAGTTTCCCTTCCCCTGATTTACATTACTCAGAGCTGAGCAGATATATCCCATGTTTTCGAGGTGAGCAAACCTTTTAGGCTTTTGGGGGGTAACATTTCCAAAAGTACTTTTCAATTTGCAAATCTGATTGCAGTAGTAAAGCACTTCCCCACCCCACTCATCCCCACCCCCCATCTCCACCCATTTGTGCACGGCTCTCTCTTTCCCAAAAGAATGACCAGCCTGAGAACTTTGCTGAAGAAATTACAAGTTGAAATATCTGCTCATTTGACCCAGGCAAAACCCCCACTATCCCGGAGAGCGAGCTGCAAGTGAATGCAGACAACTTACACCTGATGACAGTGGGGCTTCTTGAAACTTAACGAGCATATGCATTACCTTGGAACCGTGTTAATGTGCAGATGCTGGTTCAGTGGGTCTGGGGACCACACTCTGCTAGCAAGGCTATATGGCATTTTACAAAGCACTTCCACATCTGTTATGCCTTTGGGTCTCACCACGATGATGGGAAGTAAATAAGAAAGATATGATCACCTTCATTTTACAGATGAGGGAACTACAGTTCGGCTAGGTCAAGTCACATAGATAGGGTGGCAGAATTGGACTTAATCTATGCTCTTTCCAACATACTCAGAACTTAATCCTGTCCCCCAGCAGACACTTGGCTGCTGTCTGGGCTCTTCAGTAAGCACCACCTGGCCTCTGGAACTGACTTTTAATTTCTGCCCCCACAGACCTCCACAGTCGGTGATGGCAGACACAGAGAATAAAGAAGTGGCAAGGATCACATTTGTCTTTGAGACCATCTGTTCTGTGAACTGCGAGCTCTACTTCATGGTGGTGTGTTTTCCTTTCTTTGCCCACTTTGGGGCTTCTAAGGACTATTGGGAGGGTTGGCTCCCTCTGCCCCATTGGTGCATCAATATAACTGACACCCTGTTGACAGTGTTTTCACAGAGGAAGGGCCCAGACTATCTATCAGGGACTTCACAGTTTAACATGGGTCTGACCAACTGTGATGGCCCCCAGGATGGCAGTGGTGTGGGCACCCTCTCCCCTACCAGCCACCCAGCCATTGTGCCTTCTTCACTTTTTTGTCTTGCATTCAGGGCGTGAATTCCAGGACCAACACTCCCGTGGAGACGTGGAAAGGTTCCAAAGGCAAACAGTCCTACACCTACATCATTGAGGAGAATTCAACCATGAGCTTCACCTGGGCCTTCCAGAGGACCACTTTTCATGACATAGTAAGCTCTTCCCCTTCCTCAGACCCCTAGCTCCTAGAAGAGACCTCTGAACCAGGGAGGATTCCTAGCATTCACTGAAGTATGAGTTTGAGGTTCAGAATCCAAGGGTTCGAAGGATCCTATGGAGTCAAGCAGAGAACTGCCTATTCTAGCCCCCTGAGGAGCATCCAGCCTTGTCCAAATGACTTCCTGGGGAAAGATGACACTGTAAGCTCCTTAAATTATCAGTCCCTCCTCAGCAGCCTCTGAGGACATGCGTGGTGCCGGTCCTGGTATACTCTGTTTAGCCCTATTGTTTGTTTTTTGTGTGTGAGGAAGATCGGCCCTGAGCTAACATCTGCCAATCCTCCTCTTTTTTGCCGAGGAAGATTGGCCCTGGGCTAACATCGGTGCCCATCTTCCTCCACTTTATATGGGACACCGCCACAGCATGGCTCGACAAACAGTGCGTCGGTCCGTGCCTGGGATCCGAACCAGGGAACCCCGGGCTGCTGCAGCAGAGCGTGTGCACTTAACCACTTGTGCCACCGGGCCAGCCCCCCTATTGTTATTTTTAATAATAATAACTCTGGTTTTATTTTCTTAACTCAAAGTAATGCAGGTTCATTGCAGAAAACTTAGAAGATAGAAAAAAGCAAAAAGAAGAAGTAAAATGTCCCGTAATCCTACTACCCAGAGATAACCCAGTTAACATCTAGAGTATCTCCTATACAGTCTTTATTTCTCTATAAATATATTTTTTTTCTTTTATAAGGAAGAGACCTGCTTTTTTCAAATGAGTATCTACTGCATATTTCCCCCATGGTACTTAATATTTTTATATATCGTTTTAAGCGGTTCAGTCTTGTTTTAAAATGACACAAAATATACATAAAGAGTTACTGTTAAGTGAGTAAAAAGAATAGGATGCTTCTAAGATTTGTCTCAAGTATCATAGAATAAGAAAGATTGTCACACTTTACCATTTCCAGAGAATTCAATTGCTGCTGTTGTCTCAGGCCTCCGCCCGCTCTCCTCTTGTTTCCTTGTTTCCAGGGTAGAAAGTACACTAATGATGTTGCCAAGATCTACTCCATCAACGTCACCAATGTCATGGATGGAGTGGCCTCCTACTGCCATCCTTGTGCCCTGGAAGCCTCCGATATGGGCTCCTCCTGCACCTCTTGTCCTGCTGGCTACTACATTGATCGGGATTCGGGAACCTGCCACTCCTGTCCCCCTGACACAATCCTGAAAGCCCACCAGCCTTATGGCATCCAGGCCTGCATGCCGTGTGGTCCAGGGACCAAGAGTAATGAGGTGCCAACAGCTGGCCATGCATCCTAACCTTGGTCCTCTGGTTGGGCCACCTCAGAGGATATGGGTCCTGGGTGGGGTTCTTGAGGGGCTGCTACCCAAGGACTCCCCGTAGCATACTCCCAGGTTGGAGTCCTGGGAATATGCTATCCAGGTTGTGACCATGGATAGTGAGTTCTTAGCTGTAGCAGTTGGTTTTCAGGGTCTAGGCCTCAGTCATGGACAAGTCTCATCTTTAGGAGATAGGTCAGGGAGATCTGTGACCCTCTGGTCCAGACGGTTATTTGGCATCTGTGCAGAGACCTGAAGGGAAGGAATAGTGGGACCTGTGGCCCTAATTCAGCCTACTTCAATCCAGCCTGTTATCATGGGAATTTGCCCCCTCTTCTTTGGAACAGTAACCCCCCTTTCCTGAGACATGTGGTTAATTGGCATTAATACCTTCTTTTTTTTATTTTATTTATTTATTTATTTATTTTCCCCCCAAAGCCCCAGTAGATAGTTGTATATCATAGTTGCACATCCTTCTAGTTGCTGTATGTGGGGTGCGGCCTCAGCATGGCCGGAGAAGCGGTGCGTCGGTGCGCGCCCGGGATCCGAACCTGGGCCGCCCAGCAGCAGAGCGCGCGCACTTAACCCCTAAGCCACGGGGCCGGCCCTCCTTCTATCCAGTGGTTTTCCTCTAAAGTGGAACAGTGCTATTTCCCCCATGTACTTTCTGAGTCCAAGAAAGTACTATGACTAAAAGCTCTTAGTTATTCATTAATGCTTTTAAGTGAACTTGTATTTTACTGATCACAACCACGTGGACATACATCTGTAAGGCATTATTTATACAATCTGCAGACATTGTTCAGTCTAGCTGTGCAAAAATTCTGCAGACCCCGGCAACCTCTTTTGGGCACCCTGGACTTTTGCCACAAACTTCCTCCCTGGGGCTCCATCTGCTGCTGTGGGAGGGAATGACAGTTGTGTGAGGCTGCTGCTGAAGGGGACCTAAGAGGGAGCCAGGAAGGGGCTTGTGGGAAATAAAGCCCCTTTTGAGGTTCAGTTCCTACAGAGAACCTGGGAAGGAGGAAGCAGGGTTCAGAGAGTTTCAAATGGGGGTAGGGGGTAGTCTGGTAGTTTTAAATGGGGGGCAAGGCTGGTAGTTTCTCTTCTGCCATCCTGGACACCCTTCTTCCAATTAGCACCTCGCTGTCTTCTGCTTGAAAGTAAGGAGGGCTATATTGTGTCTTGAGAGAGTTCTAGAATCTAGGCATAGGGACAAGGCTATAGAATCAGACCAGACTACCTGCTGAAAAACAATAGGTTTGGGTTTGCACATCATATATGTGCTAATAATTGAATGGCAAGATGTACACAAACCCCACCAGCCCCTCCCTGTTCCACTTCTTTTCATGCCCACCCCCAATCCTTACTTCCTCTTCTCTCACCCTACTTGGGCTGGACGGAGTTGGGGAGAGTGACTGCCACTCTCCGCCGGGGTCTCCTCAGCTACTGGAGCAGCCGGCCTGACGGTCCCTTTCCCCTCAGATCCACTCTCTGTGTTACAACGACTGCACCTTCTCAGTCAGCACTCCAAGCAGGACTTTCAACTACAACTTCCTGGCTTTGGCGGATACCGTCTCTCTGGCTGGAGCGCCAAGCTTCACCTCCAAAGGGCTGAAATATTTCCATCACTTCACCTTCGGTCTCTGTGGAAACCAGGTAAGGCGTGCAAGTGCTGAGCACCGGGAGGGGTCGCCAGGGGATCCGAGGCCAGAGAGGACACGGGGGAACAGCTGGAGGACCTCCGGGCCACAGGGGATTGAGAAGCCTCAAAGCTTTTTAAATGATTATTGTTCTCCCTGAGGACTTTTTCCTCTAAAATTAAATCATTTCAATTATAAACATTTAGGAAATTAAAAGTGTTTAAAATAAGGTGTTCATTTACTCCTACCTGACCTTTATTCCTTCAAAATAAGGATATAAAAACTACGCAAGAGGAAGATTTCTTTTTTCCTTCAAAAAGCAGTCTTCACTAATCACGGCGCTTGTCGTGTGTTTTCTGGAGGCTGGATGAAATAAACTGTTCTTAGTTCATGTATCTACATGTATCTTTGCTGATAGTACAAATGAAGGAAAGTAACATGAAAGGCTTTATAAGATAAGGAAAGAATGTTACCATCAGCCACTTCACGCTGCTACAAATGTTTTGGGTCCAAAATTGAAAGGTAGAAATGGAAAGGGCAGTCACACCACTACTGCACTTGACTAAATTACAAACACGCCAGAATTAGCAGTCAGAAAGTTACTTTTAAATGTTACACAATATGGGGCCGGCCCGGTGGCCGGTAGCGGTTAAGTGCGCACACCGCTGCTGGCGGCTGGGCGCACACCGAGGTACCGCTTGTCAGGCCATGCTGTGGCGGCGTCCCATATAAAGTGAAGGAAGATGGGCACAGATGTTAACCCAGGGCCAGTCTTCCTCAGCAAAAAGAGGAAGATTGGCATGGATGTTAGCTCAGGGCTGATCTTCCTCACACAAAAAAAATAAAGTAAGTAAATAAATAAAAAATAAATGTTACAAAATAAAGAGCATCTTGAGCATTTATTCTGTGACTTTGTGTGGAAATGAGGCCTTTACACCACACAGCTTCTACCCATCTAATGCAGCCTGCAAAAAAGTTGATTTGTGTTTATACAGAGAACATGTCAAGAAATAAACTAATCTAGGAAAGATTAGAGATAGATGTCTCTATCTTGTTTTTATTTTTTATTTTATTATTTTTTTTTCTTTTTTTTTTTTTGAGGAAGATCAGCCCTGAGCTAACATCCATGCTAATCCTCCTCTTTTTGCTGAGGAAGACCGCCTCTGAGCTAACATCTAT